CGATCCCGACCAGTGTTTCGGGCTTGTGGCGCGTAGGCGAGCGGAGCTGCTCGAGCGGGACAGCTCCGCTTCACGTAAACAGGTTTGCTCGATGAGGGAGGGTCTAATTAGTAGCAAATACTGCGCCATTCTCTGTGCATGCGGGAGCTGCGACATTGGGTTCAGATCCGGCAGCGCGTTGAGGGGCCTGTCATGGTCAGCCCTCTGCTCCCAGGCGGGACTACGCCACGTGAGGCGGAACCGGCTGAATTCACTTCATAGGCGAGTCCTTGCTGATAGCGCGTGCCAGGCACCAAAGGTATTGTGCGTCGTCCTCTGTGCTGAGGTCATTGCAGAGGTACAGTGCTTGCGCCGAGTCCCAGCCGAGGCGAAGGCGAACTCCTGATTCTCAAAAGAAACAGAGAAGATCCGAGGCCGGCCTCTGCCGTAAATCCAAAAAGACCCCTTGCCTGCGGACGCTTGACTTGGCCTCGCTTGGCCTCATCCTTCGCGTCTGCGTTTTTGAGCCGGTCTGTTGTCGCTCGCCCGATGAAATATGCCAAGGGGGGGCGCCATCTTACTTGGAAGGTAATATTATGAAGACACGAGATGACTTTGGGGCTTAGTTGAGTGAGATTGCCGTGGTCCAATCGCGCAGTTGCATGTACACATGTACACGCGGTACAGTCCTCGCGGCAGTCTCAGGTGCTCCCATGACAGGCAGTTTTGCCAGCTACAGCGAAATGTAGAACTTGAAGGCGACACGATGTTGCCCACTCCCTGTGTGTGCATATGCATACAAATTTCTCTACTCCCTGGGGTGCGATATCCATTCCATCGACAAGAAGCGAGGGTTTCCCGCAGCACATTCATCATGTGTCGAGATATGCAGACTGTGCGCACAGTGTGCAGACTTGTGTTGAGTTCTTTGAATGAGTTCTTGAGCTTGAGGCCTCCTAACTAGACTGGCTGAAGACCCTTTCATCATCGTGCCAGGATCGTGTCTGTGTATCGACACACTGCCTGTTTCTTTGCAGCAGGTATTGCGTATTGCGCACAGACTGCTTCGAGTGACCTGGCATGGCTGCATGCCTTGCAGACTGTAGACTTTAGATTCTTGCTTCGTGCTTGCAGGTATTTCAGCAGCAAGGACGATTACCAAACAGGCAAGTCGGCATTTGTGATCTTCCCCAAAAAATTTGGCAAGAGCTTCCTACTTTCGTTCGTTTGAGGTGCGCTCCGTAGGCGCACCCCGGCGGTTCCGCAGCTCCCACTGTGGTGCCGTGCACACATTCTGCAGTCCCATCGCACAGTCCGGGCCGCCCTCGTCTTTGGACACGAAGGGTCTTCCCGATATTCGGCCGCAAAGGATTCCAAAGTTGGGGGAAAAAAAATCCAAATCTCAGTGTTGCACATTTCTTGGTACGCTTCCCGCCACAGCCCGCTGCATTTCAACTCCGGAATCGTGCCCCTGTCAGCACGCCATGCGTAATTTCAGAGCTACTCGTGTTCCACCTCCACACATGTTGGGGTGCTTCTCACGTTCCTGCCATAGTTGATGCATGTTGTTGCATGTCCTGGGAGGCTTGGACTGCCATTTTCACTGTTTGGGGTCTATGTCGGCATAATTGGTTTCTGCATCTGCTCAGCAGGTCTGTTCAGTTCATTGGCGCTGTTTCAGATTCTCGCAGGCGTTGCTGCAAGAGCGCGTGCTCTTATCGAAGACATCACCGCATTCGAGGTAGGAAGGGCGGGGACACTGGCGACTCTTCCATGCTCAGTCGTGCTTCCACCGGATCCCGGTGGCGGCAAGGTAGTCAGAGCCAGGAGAGAGAATAGAGCCACGCTTCGCACGTTTCTGTTGGATGTCAAGGTCTTGGATGACGGCACGATGGAAGCTTGAGTCTCAGCTCCGTCGACCGGAGGGTTTCACTTCGTCCTGCCAAGCACAAACGGTTCTCAACGCATCTCGGTTGAGTGTTTCTGGCTTGCTGGACGAGAATCACTGCATCACGAGCTTAGACCATTGTGGTTTGGCACGGTGATGCCTGCAGCTGCAACAGGACATAGTCGACCGAAGCTCGACTTGCCCCGAAGCCCAAACTGCTTCCTGCTTCGCCTCGTAGGTGGCCTCCGCTCCGCCGCATGTGATTGCACTATCCCTCTTGTTGCAGCCCCATGATACCTCACTCAGAGATTCAACGGATCAGGTGTAAGTACTGTAATTACTCTCTTGGTTTGACGCTGCCGAGCAGCGGAGCAGCAACTTAAACATGTCGGGTTGGTGCTGCATGTTTTCCATGCGCACACTGCAAGTATTGCTCCGCCACATCAACCGTTCTAGCACGAGTCATGTTATCAACGTGCTTCGTAGGAAAGGGTCTTGCTCGGCATCTGAGCTGGTAAATGTCCGAAGGTCCTGAATCTGAATCTGGGCCGTCAAAGCTCTCAAGTCCGTCTTGTGGGTGCTAGTCATGCTTGAGCATTAGGCATGAGTTGCCAGCACTTCAGGTATTACACA